ACAATCGATCTCTCTTGAATTCATTCAAGTTAAAATTACAAAGTATTTTATATAATGATACAGTTTTCTGCTGCCATGAGTTAAAATTTCTATTTGGACAAATATTTTGCATGGGAACCGGTACTATATTTTTTTGGCGTCAGATTAGCAAATGAGGCACCATCATGATTTGGCCTACCAATCAGCTGAATGAGAATTGCATTATGGGTTACTACGAATACTACAGGAATTTTACGCTTAATTAATTCCTTTATTGTGCTATCGGTGAATACAATTGTCAGGTGGATTTCCTGGCCAACACACGTGATCATGAGTATAGTTATGTAAAAAAAGCATACGAGAAGCTGCTCGTTTTCCTTACCCTTGAAGTGCTGGTGTTCTGAACTTGACACTAACTACGTATACATTTTATTAAACATATTTGTTCTAGTTAACAGCAAATTAAAAACGCCCGTAATATCTTTCATAGTTTCTAATGTTTGCGTTCTGTTCATAAGAACATTTTTTTTTAATTTTGCACTCCATTGACATGATCATAGATTGACCTGAACCATGTGTTCGAAGTAACATGTAAACATGTATTTGGCGTAAACGCATTCAATCAACAATTGGTCAGTTGGTCAGTTAGAAATGATGATATATTATGTGCCATTGTTTATGCAATTATTACCGCATATAATGTATTGTATATCATATTCTACTTTAATCTGAGCCTGTACAAATCTTATGTATGAATATGTATGTACATATTTTGTATACCTATGAGATGTAATGTCCCTGCTTCAACTAACACACATTAAAAAAATCTCTGCCATGAGCTGCAATTTGAGAGAATGAGTATGTTTTTAATTATCTTTTTTGAACAACAAAGCTTCAATTCATTGTTTCAATAAAATTCCAGATGTTTGAGTGTACTTAAATATACGTTAGTTGTCTTCCTCTTAACTGACCCCTTTCTTGTCTCTTGACAATTTGAGTATTCCAATTAATACGTTTGGTCAGGGCAATCAAGGGTAATTGCTTATAACAACTATAGGTACTCAAGTTCACGTTCAGTTTATTCTCCCAAACCAAAATATTGGTACATGGGGTCGACATAACTCAACATAACAATCTAGACGTGATCGTCAATTAATAAAGGGAAAAAACAGAGACTCTAAACAGAGGCTCTAAAGAAATGAGAAGGGATATAAGTGACTGTGTAGATTGTAACGTAAAGTATGTTATCGATTTTCCATTTAATTTGATATATTCTTCTACGATTAGTCAGTTAGAGCAATTAGATATGATAGGACCCGGAAATGCTTTGCTTAAGAAATAAAAGGTGCAAATAATGAACAGAAATCGATCGAATGAATTTAAAAAAAAACAAATCCGTGAAGGTGCATCAAAACTGATTCATGGAAATTCCAGAGGCGGAACCAGGTGCCTAGAAGGAGCAAACATACCCAGCTGACCGATCAAAGACACACTGCAAAGTCAAATCTAGTATTAAATCAAAGGCCAAATGTTTAGTATAATTAAACAATTCAACCAAAATACGACCCATTATTATTATAATGGGTCGTATTATATTATTATATTATATTTTGCTAACAAAGTCATTATCACGACTTAAAAAAAAGTTTATAATCAAAGCTTCAGCTTGAGTGATATAAATACCATACGCAAGGTGTTGAGGAATATTACTACATAATTATAAATAAGTAATGTTAATTATTTAAAACCTTTATTCATCTTTTTTCTGAAACAATTTAGTTCTTTTAAATTTGCCTTTATCGTGGAAAGTCAGTAAAAAGTTGAAACTGAAATAAATAAAGACAGCTTGAATTTAAAAAAAAATAACCAAATTAAATCAAGAACGTTAAAAAATATAATGCAAATTTCAGCAATTTTGGTTGTTATCAAAGATCGTTCAATGTCATGTAATTATATGTTAATAAATTTCCTGAAATATTCTTTTTCTATAATTTTTAAAGTGTAACACGAATATGTACGGTGTTTTTTCTACTTTGACATTGTCGCCCAATCTTTTCGTACCATATTTTGTGACAATTGTTTTAAGCTTTAATGTGTACTAATTTTTGTGTGTACAATGTATTAACATTAATGCATTTTAAGTCATGGTATCATTCAAAGCTATTATACGAGGGTTGATCCAAAAGTTCGTGGAATTTTTTTCTAAAATTTTATCGTGATTTGATGAAAGCAAACAACAGGCATATTCATAATAAAGAGTCATTATGCAACATCACCACTTTCCAATTACCAATGAGGTCACACGAGCTTCCTGAAAATGGATAGTTTTGAAACCCGGGGGAGACTTAGACGTAACGTCAAGTTAGATATGTCACTTCACGTTATAGAAGCAACTCGCCCTAATGTCCAATTTGAATACGCAATTCTGCAAAATGCTGTCCTTTTCCATTTTTTCCTCAAGAAAAGCCTGGGTATCCTCTCGCACCAACTTATCTTCCTTTCTTACTCATATTTCAAAATACTACCCATATTTGCATATGATGTTCCAATTTCAATAGCAATGTCAAGAACAGTACGGCAGCCGACAACGTCCATTAACGCTTTAAATTTGTCTAAAGGGGGGGGGGGGGGTAAACACTTAAATCAGAGCCTCCAAAAAGCGGTCACACCTTTAATCAACGTACATGGAAGTTTTGTTTTCTTAAATTTCTTAAGCCACTAGAAAATTAGTAACTCAATGCATTTTTCCCAAGCATTTGTCAATAATGTACGCGTTTAAGATAGAGTGATTCCGGAATTTTCACAAAATTTATGACTTGACCGAAATTTGACGTTGTCTAACAACTTAAAGTTGAACAATTAATCATCAACTAATAAACTAAATAAATATCCAGTAAAATCAGTAAAACTCTCACACAAAGGTTTATAAAGATCGAACAATCGTAATAATGACATAATTTTCGTTTTATATACCACAAAGGGCGGTTTAATTCTCATATCACGTATTAAGAATTTATATGAAAAAAAAAACGCTTTAATGTCTCCCCCAACCGTTTCTATGGCAACTGCCATAGAGTTACTCTCAAAGATATTTAATCTTTTTTTTAAATTTAAAATATTCATCAAGTGTCTATATTTTCTTTTGCAATTTTCAACCAATTCCACTTAAAAATAAATAAAATATGAAGAAATTCCACGAACATTTGGATCAACCCTCGTACATGTATATAATGGATCTTAATTTAATTTTTCCATTGTGCTTAATATCTTTCAGGGAAATTAAACTGCCCATTTATAAATGAAAATGATGATCAGCAAGCGCCTAAGATAAAATCTTAAGTTATGCAAAATATTACATATTTAAAGACATTTCCTGATGAAAATAATTCTAAAAGATAATTCACTTAAATTACTAATGTTTGGTTGCCGCAACAACGTTTGGAACGAACAGTTTATTTTTAAAAATTACGAGGGTCATTCAAAAAGTTCTTTTGTTCTAACATTTTTATTTAACGTCATATTACATCCAAATTTGGTACACATATTTTAACAACAAATTCAAATATTTTGAGTAAAAAATTGGAATATATCTTCATATTTATAAAAGAATTTAGATCAGCAAAAATGGGGTCACGGAGCAATGCCAAATTGTGTAATTTACTAATTTTCACTTTATTGTATCCATAGCCATACTTCTTATAAATTGAGATGAAACAAATTAAAATTTACATGTTTAAATTAAGTCTAGTTAGTTTTACTTAAAATGCTATCTGATAATGTAATACATTGCTCTGTTTAAAAGATATCAGTTTCTAAACACATATGATTAAAAAAGGCAAAAAACCATGACGTTTGAGGACGGCACGGAGCAGTGAGTTGCAAAAACATTTTGCTTTGTATTCGGGAAACATCTTTAACAAGCTTAAAAAATCTATATTAACCAAGGAATGTATGAAAAAATAAGCCGTGTATTTGTATAAAATGGAAAATACAATTTTTGAGTGGTAGCGAGTTTGAATCGGACGATGAATGGTCTGCAGAGAAGCAGGTTATAGTTCAACACTTTGTCCAAAGAGTTCGTAATGTCATTAAACGTGATGTGCGCTTCACCCTTGCAGAACTAATAGAGTTATACGGTAAAGAATTTGAAAACACTGACAATCTAGTTAAAGCTATTTGTTTTGCAAAATTGTAAGCAAACAATGTGTTAAGTATTATGGATACGTTTTTATGAATTGAGAAGACGCTACAAACCGTGTGTGATATTAAAAATAAAAGTAATTATAAGAAACTTTCTCGATATTAATTTTGACGTTACAATGTTGGTTTACCGTGCTCCATGGTAAAAAAAAAAACATGTTGCTTAAAAAATTGGCTAACTTGAGTTCTATATAATCAAATGGAATGAAACTTCACACTTCGACAAAATAAAAGTTTTTATTTACGAAAATGTATAGATCTTTAATCTTGTAATAATAATATGACGATGATGAACATTGTCTACGTAATTTTTGAATGACCCTCGTATATATTGATAAGAACAAGATTCACAAATACATGTACATCTTGGGCGTAAGATTATTGATACCAAAAAGTTTTGAGATGAAATATGTGGAGATAATGAACATTATTCGAGCTCAAACGTCCATTTAACATCACAAAATAGGAGTATCTAGAGCAACCACGGACCTCGAAAACGTCAGAGATGAGATCAGGTGCCATTAAGCAGTGACCATCCCCTGCCGATCGGTCACACCGTGCACGTGTGGTCCTTGTCATGTTCTGGGCAGAAAAAATGAAGAAAAAACTCCGTGGACAATTCAGTGTGTAATTAGTGGCCTAACAATCTGTATGAAAAAATCATTCAACATTTGACTTATTAATGAACTGTATTTGCTGACAAAGTCATTGTATCGACCATGGAACATTGAAATTATGACATATATCGCTGTTTGTTTTGTCCACTTGCTAAAAATACATTTGAATACCAACGCGCCTGTGCGTGTCCTTGTGCGAAACGGAAGTGATATAATTTGAACAGGTATTATATGTCGAATACTGCCTTGATTTATAGATAGGCTCTTGGCAAGGGGATGCTCCGTGTTTCAGTGTCCTTGATATATATAATGACTCCTACGTAAGACGTGATAATACAGATGAGGTAGAGTCTCATGTTACATTTTAATAGCGAATCACGTGAAATGAATGTATATAATTACACAACACAGACTATAATAATGTTTGAGTGATGAAAAGGATTATTGTTTTTTCATCTGGCTTAATAATTTAAAATGTAAGTAAACTATTAACTGCATCTAAATCTAAATGTATCGTACTACGACTTATTTTGAGTAATTTTTCTAGGTTATAACTTAAATCATAAACTAGAGGTCCTGTGACAGAGCCCTAATTCTCTACAGGAGGTCGTTAAAAATTGTAAATGTAAATTTTAGCTTGATTTAAGATCTTGTTAAAAAGGACAGAATTTTGGTCAAAGTCTATTATATTCTCTTTGAAGGTTTACTCAATTGATATTGGTTGTTTTTACTATGTTGTTTGGGATATATGGGAAGGAAAATACCTCAGATTTCATCAGCAAATATAAACAGTACAACACTGTCTGTAAAGGAATGGGATATGAAGAAAAAAATTGCAAAGGAAAAGGTATATTGATTTTATTTTTGACGATAAAGAAATCTTTCTTTTAATACAATGTATAACACACAGTGACACGAAAACACAAGTATATTAGAAGATTGAATGGAAATCTTTTTGTGTACGATACTTTTTTTTAACTCTTTATCTAACCATATTTTCCTTTTTTATCATGACTAGCTTATTAATATTTAGTTGTGATGTCTTCTCTTATTATAATTTAAAGGGATCTCTCTATTTTCTAAAGGTGTTATCGCATTCAATGCACTTTTGACATCTGATCAGCAAAGACCGGCAAACAAGGCAGTTATCATTTTCAAAAAGGTAACATTAAACTCTGGAAATGCATATGATGCAACCACTGGAAAGTTTACAGCTCCTGTCGATGGAATATACTCGTTTACATGGACTATTGCAACAGATGCTGGAAAGTATTTAAGCACAGAAATCCTAATGAATGGTAAGCCTGTCAGTTACAACCACGTAAATGGCAGGAGTGGAAGTTCCAACTACGAAAGTGGATCAGCAACAGCTAATATAGAAATGAAAAAGAATGACCAAGTTTGGATTAGAGCGTATGAAGGCGGTGGGTACGCTAGATACACCTGGTCATCTTTCTCTGGCTTTCAGATATAAAACTGAAGATTTTACTGTTTAAACGGAAAATCTTTAGCAAAATAAACTCCTTAAATTTAGGTTTTGATATGTGTTTGTGGAAAATAAATAGAATTATTGCAAATACGACGGTCATTCAATAAATAATGCAAAATTTTTTCTAAAAATAAGACTCTTCGATTACGGGAGCATATAAAGTGTATATAGGTATGCAGGCAAGATCCCTGCATTATCACATACAGTCGTGCAACTGGTCTGCCAAAAGACAAAAATCTAGATCTAATATAAGTGAATCTTTATTTGATTTGCACTTACTGTCTTTATTATTTTTAATGCTGTCATGACTGTCTTCTTCAAGTGAACTTTAATCAGCTTGCTGATATACTTACTTGCTAGTAATTTTCAACCAAAGTACATGTTAAAAATGTATGTTAAATCAAATGTCACAAATTTAAACTATAACCAAGACGTCACCTAACGTTCTTAGACCCATCCTGTCTTCTTTTCAATACTAAAACCACACGGAGACCTTCGTAAATTATCTGGAAAAATCCATGCATCATACACAATATAGAAATTTGTAAATTAATTGCCAAGCTATCGATTATTCGATAATCTCTTCTAAAACCTTGTTCTTCTTGCAAAGAGTAATTAAAAAACATGAATGATGCCAGTGATATTCTTGTTTCATCAAATTGTTTGTCAATAACTTATCTCGTTTTAAAAAGTGTTCATACGTAGAGGATGATTTCTTGTATCGAATCAACTGAGAGATATAAACCCCTTATAAAGGTGATGAGTTTATATTTCTGCAAAAGTAAGGGAAGTTGAATATTGAAAAGTTAAAGTCGTCATATTCATTTGAAATCTTGAATGTAGATTACCATTAACGCCTTTATCCTGTAAATATTTGTAAGAGTAGGTCGATAAAAAAATGGCTTTCAGCTGTTCCTTCGCCTTGCACTTTGCACTTGAAGAAGAAGTTGCGGGTCTTTCGAATGGGACCTTAAGAACCGTGGTCCCATGTCAATGGTAAGCGTTGGCACTTTAAAGATTCCCACTGCTCAATGGTCCCGAGTGTCACATATAGATTAAAGGTAAACATTTGTAGCCCATCACTAGTACATGATGACGTCTCTACATGAGTAAAATATTCTCAAACTGGTCTTAAACTAAAACAACATACAATCAAATTAAAATACAATTTAAATTATATTAAGTTTTGTCAGTAGTGACCAGTGCATACTGATTGTGTAATCTAATTCTTTCTGAATTATTGAATACATAAATAAGGACAGCTGGTTTTCATTTTACCTCTCATTCGTTTAATACAATATTTAAACATACATTTAAAACATTATTAACTTGCTTACTTACTATTAAGTTTATAATTCACTTATTACGGACCTTTGTACATATTTATATAATTTTTCTATGTTGCATATCATTATGTTGTCTTATATCATGATTTATTGTCATGTATTGTTTGGGAACACACATGCAAATGAGTCCCTTCCCATTCAGATTTGTATAGTAGACCTTCTGATGTTTTTGTTAGTATTTTTTCTGTTCGTATGTAAATTTCTTTTTATTTGTTTTCAATGTTTTGCTTTAGATATAACCTCATGTTTACATATCTACAACTGTCAACATATTTGTTACAAAAACTCAAACTCAACTCCTAGTCTTTATACATACATGTACTGTGTACATTTTTTACAAAATTTTCCATTTTGCGGCGAATTAAATGTCTTTAGATCCGACATTATAGACAATGGGTAATAGTATAGAGCAATATCGAGCCGCAATTGGAACTTTTTACTTTGTGTGTAGGTATGTAACTTGCTCGTCAATGTTTGTTTTTCTTTCACTGCGTGATATTTTTATCTTTTTCCAACATGTGACTCGGAAAATTCTGTTGAAAAGTTTGTATTTTGGTAAAAATCTGTCAGTACACATATCCCTTTTCATGCAATTTTTTGCTTTTATTTTGTTATTAATATCTGGTGATATAGAAACAAAGCCATAGTAAATGATTTTGATATTGTGTGCTTTACTGAAACGCATCTCGATGACAAAATTTTGAATAGTGATATTTCTTTAGAAGGTTTTAATTGTATTTTTCGCAAAGATCGAAATTCCTTCGGAGGCGGAATCATTACTTACACAAGTAACAACATTCGAGCTCACAGACGAATGGATCTCGAACCTGTCAATATTGAAACTGTCGTGTTAGAAATTGATAACCCTACCTCTCAACTCTTCTTATGTTGCGTATATCGTCCTCCGCACGCAGATTCCACTTTTTGGAGAAACTTTTCATGGTCTTTAGATAAAATAAGTGAACTTTCCGACAAAATAATAATTGTTGGTGATATAAATGTTGATCTCTTAAGCACTCCTCACACACATATTATATATGAAATAATATCCAATTGTAGTCTGATCAACAGAATCAGCGAGCCAACGAGAATCACGCATTCCTCTCGAACACTTATTGACCCAATATTTACAACACAAAGCATTGACGTTACAGAGTCAGGAACTTTAAATGTAAGCGCGAATCTTAGCGACCACAGAGCAACTTATGTGTGTCTCACCATGAACTACAAAATTAATCATGCGTATAAGCGAAATGTATGGGTATATAAAGAAGCAGATTTTGAAAAACTCAATTCCTTAATTCAAGATTGCGATTGGGACAGCTTAATAAATAACGTCCAAGATGTTGACACTGCTACGGAAAACTTTACTGCTCATTTCCTATCGTCTGTACGAAAATGTGTTCCAGAAAAGTCGGTCACAATTCGTCCGAAAGATAAACCTTGGTTTGACTCAGTACTCAGGAAAAATATTAGAATACGCAACAGATTACATAAAATAGCAAGAAAAACGAATAAAGATTCGGATAAGGCTGAATATCGAAAAATCAGAAATCAAGTCAATAACATGAAAAAATATGCGCTATCGAATTATTATGACAACATGGACCTTCAGCTATCTGAAGCGAGCGTGAATAATACTAAATTATACTGGAAAATGCTAAGAGATGCTTTTCATGTAAAACCAAACAAAGATATTCCACCCATACAATACATTTCTGATAGCGGAGAAGAAAATATAGCTTTCTCAGATGATGATAAAGTCGATGTGTTAAACAAGTATTTTTCTTCTATATCCAATGTTGATGACTCTAACAAACAATTACCACCACAGTATTACCTATGCAATGACACACTAAGTGATATAGTAATTACTGAGCAAGAAATTGTTGATATAATATCAATACTCCCTGTCAATAAAGCAATAGGTCCTGATGCAATAAGCCACAAGATGTTAAAATCTACTATTAATTCTGTGTCTAAACCGCTATGCTGGTTATTTAATAAGTCGCTGGCAGAAAATATATTTCCAGATAAATGGAAAATCGCTCATGTACTACCGTTGTTTAAAAAAGATGATCCTTCAGTAGCTACTAATTATAGACCGGTATCATTGTTGAGCTGTGTTAGCAAAATTATGGAACGAATTGTTTTTAAACATGTGTACAATTACTTTCATCAGAATAATTTATTCTACAAATTTCAAGCAGGCTTTTTGCCAGGTCACTCAACCGTTTACCAACTACTAGAAACTTATCACACTATAATTAAGAATATCGACGAAGGAAAATTTTGTTGCATGGTATTTTGTGATCTGTCTAAAGCTTTCGACAGAGTATGGCATAAGGGTTTACTTTTTAAATTAAAAACTTATGGATTACGTGGAAATATTCTTACCTGGATAGAGAGTTACCTATGTAATAGAAGACAGAAAGTTATGTACAAAGATATTTTTTCGTCTAACAGAAACATTAACGCTGGTGTACCACAAGGATCTGTTCTTGGTCCTTTACTTTTTTGATTTATGTGAATGATGTATCAGAAAACATGATTTCATTGTGTAGATTGTTTGCAGATGACAACTCGTTGCAAAGTTCCTCTTATAATGTTGCAACTATTGAATATACTTTAAATCATGATTTAGATATTCTGGACAAGTGGTCTTCCAAATGGCTTATGAAATTTAACCCATCTAAAACGAAAGCATTATTCTTTACATTAAAATCCAATTATTATCTCCCAAAACTACAATTTCAACGATGTAATCTAGAATACATAACCTCTCATAAGCATTTGGGTTTACTTTTGAGCCAAAATCTTAATTGGTCTGATCATATAGACAATATAGTTAAACAGGCTTACCAAAGATTAGGTCTTTTAAAAAAGCTGAAATACAATATCGGTAGAAAAACTTTATCTAAAATGTACATAACATTCATTAGACCGCTACTTGAATATTGTTCTATAGTTTGGGACGGGTGTTCTTTACAAGATATTGAACGATTAGAAATGGTGCAGCTTTATGCTGCAAGAATTATTACAGGGTTACCAATTATCGCTTCAAGAGATGCATTATATTTAGAAACAGGATGGGAACCTCTTGCAGATAGGCGAAAAGTAGCAAAACTAAATACTACCCCTGCGAAATGATCAAGAATAATTCTTGAACTTTTAAGAAAAGTTCATGAATTATATTCTTGAATCAGCTCATGAATTGTTCATGAAGATCCCATGAAGTTAAAATTGGACACTCATGATTTCATGGATTTTATTCATGAAAACCAAGTTCAAGAATATTCAAGAATTATTTGTTGTTCATGAACAAACTTGGATTTTTTAATTGCCTGCAAAATGATCAAGAATAATTCTTGAACTTTCAAGAAAACTTCATGAATTATATTCTTGAACTTTCAAGAAAACTTCATGAATGATATTAATAGGTTCAATGCATTTTCATGAACTATTCATGAATAATTTGTAAAAGTTATTTAGGAATGTTCATGAACTGTTCATGAATGTTCTTGCTTTTTGTAAACAAAAATGTAATAAATTATGCAAAATGAAAAACTGTGAAAGAAAATATTTTAAAGCATCTTGAAAGATTTCACAGAATTTTTGTTTTCCAATCATGGTATTGTAACAAAATCTTTGTTCAAGTAAACAACTCTGATAAGTGATATCGATAATAAATAAATTATGTAGTTCATTCCTAGTAAAATTATGAAAAATTTAATTCAAACGC